TGCCTTAAGAATTGAAATTATTGCCTTTTGCACAATTAATAGAACCTCAATGTAATATTCTGGATAGATATTTATGCAGTATATGATTGCTTATATCATACATCCATTTCACAGCTAACAAGGCATTAAGGGCCAGATTTTCAAAGGTATTTAGGCACGTAAAGATGCATAAAGGCACCTAGTGAGATTTACAAGGCACCTATCTGCATCTTTACGTAAATCTTTGCAAATCTGATGCCTAATGATCTGGGATTTATGAACTCACATCCAAGCACTTTTACATGTGAAGGGGCTGACTTTTGAGGAAAGATTAAAAGAACTAACGGCAACATTTTGAAAACCACATTGGTGATTTAGGGACTTAAGTCACTTATTCAAAAATAATTTTGGCACTTAGGAGACAAAATCCCATTGACTTTCAATGGGAATTAGGTGTCTAACCTGCTTACATGCTTTTGTAAATCCTATTAGACACCTATCTGCATTCTTAGGCATTTAAATACTTTTGTTAATCTGCCTCTAGTAAATGGAGACTGGAGCAGTAGCATATTTCAAGACACTAAGTAAGTCGGTAATCAGAGATTTGGAGCAATCAAATTTTTGAATTGCTCCGCTCTGGCTCCGGGCAAAAACCTACTGCTCTGCACTCCAGCTCCGGGCTCCGATCCAAAGCCCTATAGGTAATAATTCCTTATTAATTTTTTGCTTCAAGAATATCATGATATATTTTGTCTTAATTAAATATCTAGCTTTGGCTTATTATAATGATCAAATACATTATTCAATAATGGAATCATTTTATCTATGAAATAAAAGATCCAGGGCTGAAACCTTACCTTAATATTCAATATGCATTATATTTTCCCATTATTTAATTCCGAGATGTACACATGGGTCCAACAAACAAAGCAATAGATCAGGATTCGCCCATTTCATCCCTCTGAACAACCTGATTGTATCTCTAAAGAGCAATTAGTTTTGGGTCTGAATTAAGGTGACTTCTTATAGTTGTTGGTGACAAGGTGAGTAACACCAGCAATTTCAACTGCCTGCTGTGTTACAGAATGCAGGTGCATGCAGCTATATGCTCTGCCTATCTACTCCCTTTCTTTGTACTTCCCTATATTGCCTGCTCCCAAGAATTTTGCTGTGTACTTAGACTAGGATTCTTCCCTTCAAATTCCACATGATGCCCTATTTAGATCTCCCCCTTTTTCATTTCCACTAAATCTTCAGATTCCCTACACTGAAGCAACTTTTAGTCTGGAAGAGAACAGACTACTGCTTCTTCCAGAATTATCCATGCTGTTTCATCTGTTCTTCATGGAGGCTGCTGGGAAGCTAACGCTAAGAAAGTGTTCAGCACAGCCCTGGAAGGACAGACAACTTGGCATAACACTTACTAGAATTAAGGAGAGGGAAACTGACACTAATTTATTAGAAAGTTGCAACTACTGTAGTTTGTTTATCAAATAAAAGTAGTTTTTGCAGTTCTTAGTTATTTTAATAGAAATGTTACCAGGTTACTCAATGCTGCTAAATTACAGATTACTATGATTTAAAAGAACACAATCAACTTTATAAAAATCACACTTTGGTCTGAATTGTTTGGACCTACTATTGCTACAAGCAACTCCTAAAATCAGTGAAAGCAATAAAAGAAAAAGTATTAGTGTTCATTGGGAACACTGTGAACAGGGCCAGCTCCAGGCACCAGCTTCTCAAGCAGGTGCTTGGGGTGGCCGCTCCGGAGAGGGGCGGCAGGTCCAGATATTTGGTGGCAATTCGGCGGACGGTCCCTCACGCCACCTGGGAGTGAAGGACCTCCCGCTCAATTGCTGCCGCAGATCGCAATCGCGGCTTTTTTTTGTTGTTTTTGTTTTGTTTTGTTTTGTTTTGGCTGCTTGGGGCGGCCAAAACCCTGGAGCCGGCCCTGACTGTGAATAGTCAGTTTCACCTATTCCTTGGTAGGTTTTTCAAAGGAGAGAGAAAAATCTTTTTTTTTTTTTAAATAAGGTAAGTGTGGTTGTAAAACCAGACATTACCAGGGTGACTCTGGGTCAGGTGTAATACTTAAAACTACTTAGCTTTTTTAGAAATTGACTAAATTTTAAGTCAATAAGGAGGTCAGATTTTTTACTCTATCAATTTGCAAATCCTAGAGTCACTTTAATTAGCAGCCCCTGCTCTATATTTATTAGTGTGATGCCATGCCTCCACTCTTGTCCAAGTACTAGTGCCATATTCTTCCCTTTAATGTGAGAAGTAGAGAGCAGAAAATAGAAGTAAAAAGAAAAAAACCTGAAAACAATACATTTTATCATATATATTGTCTATTGTTCCTATTGCAACTGCCAAAAATAAAAGAATGTAGTACTTAGTTTGATGTTACTAAGCCAAAAATAAAATTATGTGCTAGGGCTATTGATTAATTGCTCTTAACTCACGCGATTAACTCAAAAAAATTAATCACGGTTTTCATTGCACTGTTGAACAATAGAATACCAATTTAAATTTATTCAATATTTTTGGATGTTTTTCTACATTTTTAGATATATTGATTTCAATTACAACGCTTGACAGTGTTCACTTTATATTATTATTTTGATTACAAATATTTGCACTGTAAAAATGGCAAACAGAAGAAATAGTATTTTTCAATTCACCTCATACAAGTACTGTAGTGCATCAATCTCTTTATCGTGTAAGTGCAATTTACAAACATAGATTTTTTTTTGTTACACAGCTGCACCCAAAAACAAAACAATGTAAAACTTTAGAACCTACAAGTCCACTCAGATCAACTTCTTGTTCAGCCAATTGATAACACAAATAATTTGTTTACATTTACGGGAGATAATGCTGGCAGCTTCTTATTCACAATGTCACCTGAAAGCAAGAACAGGCATTCGCATGGCACTTTTGTAGCCAGCATTGCAAGGTATTTATGTGCCAGTTATGCTAAGAGTCATATACCTCTTCATGCTTCAGCCACCACTTCAGGGGACATGCTTCCATGCTGAAGATGCCCATTAAAAAAAATAATGCATTAATAAAAATTGTGACTGAACTCCTTGGGGGAGAATTGTATGTCTCCTACTCTGTTTTACCCGCATTCTGCCATATATTTCATGTTATAACAGTCTCAGATGATGACCCAAGCACATATTGTTCATTTTAAGAACACTTTCCCTGCAATTTGACAACATACAAAGAACGTACCAATATGAGATTTCTAAAGATAGCTACATCACTCAACCCAAGATTTAAGAATCTGAAGTGTCTTCCAAAATCTGAGAGAGACGAGGTGTAAAGCATGCTTTCAGAAGTTTTAAAAAGAGCAACACTCCAACGCAGAAACTGCAAAACCTGAACCACCAAAAAAGAAAATCAACCTTTCTGCTAGTGGCATCTACTCAGACAGGGGTGAAAGTGAGCCAGTACTAGGTACCAGTAAGAACCCACATCGGCACATGTGACCCAGCCCACATTAAAGCGCTGCTGCGGCAGTACTTTAATGTCCCTGCCCCATTGCCCCTGCTCCCCCGCAGCCTCCGACGGGCGGGGGGGGGGCCAAAGGGAGCAGTTGCCCTGGGGCCGATTTAAATCAACACGGGAGCCCTGGGCAGCACGGGCCAGGCAGCCTGAAAGGCCTGGTTGGGGGATGCTGACCCCGCAACCCTGCCCCTTCTGCCTGAGGCCCTGCCCCTTCTGGGGGCCGGAGCCCACTCCCCGGCCCGTACCGGTAAGTGGCCTAACTTACTTTCACCCCTGGACTCAGAGGATGAAAGTGAACATGCATTGGTCCGCACTGCTTTGGATGGTTATTGAGCAGAACCATTATCAGCATGGACACATGTCCTCTGGAACGGTGGTTGAAGCATGAAGGGACATATAGTGAATCTGGCACATAAATATCTTGCAACACTGGCTACAACAATGCCATACAAATGCCTGTTCTCACTTTCAGATGATATTGTAAACAAGAAGGGGGCAGCATTATCTCCTGCAAATGTAAACAAATTTCTTTGTCTGAGCAATTGGCTGAACAAGAAGTAGGACTGAGTGGACTTGTAGGCTCTAAAATTTTACATTTTTGAATGCAGTTATTTTTTGTACATAATTCTACATTTGTATGTTCAATTTTCATGATAAAGAGATTGTACTACAGTACTTGTAATAGGTAAATTGAAAAATACTATTTCTTTTGTTTTTTACAGTGCAAATATTTGTAATCAAAAATAAATATAAAGTGAGCACTGTACACTTTATATTCTGTTGTAATTGAAATCAATATATTTGAAAATGTAAAAAATATCCAAAACTATTTAAATAAATGGTATCCTATTATTGTTTAAACAGTGTGATTAATCGCGATTTTTTTAAATCGCTTGACAGCCCTATTATGTGCACATCATTCCAAAACTGCATCTCATACATCTACATGTTGTTGCAATATTTTGTTTAGCCCTAGCATTTACTTAAAGTTGCTTCATAAGCTTTTGGTGCAAAATTAATTTTCACTGTATGCATGTTCTGCAAAAAATATTTAGCTCCCTGGTTGTCTCCTTTTGTTTGCCCTCTTATAGCCCCACTTGCTTGTATGAGCTTAATGGTGTAGGATTGCTCTTAATTTCCTCCTTCTACTTTTTCCCCTCAGGGGGCATCTGCTCTCAAAGCAGCCAGTATATCTGCCATACCATGTGGATATCCAACAGCCTTTACTGTTTACTGTGATTGCTTTTCTCAACTCAAGCCACAATGCATGGAAACATACATCTGTTTTTTGAGAGCTGTTAGGGATCTGCAAACTAGCACCTTTGCTGCTTTTTTTAAGCCAACTCAAACGTCATTAGATCCAAAAATAAAACTTGCACATAAATCAATGCTAAAATTAATTTTAAATTAAACCGATGTTTCATTTTGTGACTAAAAGCGTTTCCTGAAAGAGTATGATTATGAAAGCAAAGTTGATAACTTTTGTTTTGTTTTTACTGTACCTGGGCTCCATAGATATATTTATCCAACATCTTGCCTCCTATTGTTTGCCCCCCTATGTCCCACACTTGAAGAGTAACATTCAAATTTCCTGAAAAAGTAAAAAAAAAGCAGAAGCTGATTTCTTTGAAGACACTGATTTGATGAAGTTAGATGCAACTAAATTCAAAATGTAAACATTAAAGCAGTTGATACAATTCCAGCATATCTGTAAATACCTTTTACAAACATTTTCTTGTACATCTAATAAATATTTGGTCAAAATATGTAGACGAACAATCAACTGGGAAAAAAAAGTTAATTCCTTTTAAATTATACTCATTAAGATCTAGTAAAAATATAGCTGACTATGAACCGCATCTCATTGTAAGTGTTCTTTGGAGGAGAAGAATTAGAATGGTATAAGGTACAATTTTCCTAAGTCAAAGTTTAATAATGTATTTTAGTGAAGCAATCTGAAAAGAAGCTTAACAAAACAAATCTTTATACCATAATAGTTGCATTGTCCTTTATTTCTAGTAATATCAACCTAACCACATATTTTAACTCCCGTGCGCCTGTTCAACTGTCTTAAACATTTAAAACCGGGATGCATGCACAGAGTAACTCTGTATTTTGGGAGAGCTGTTCCCAATACTACTGTACAGTTAGGTGATTATAATGGAAATGCTAACACAATCCTATTTTCAGGGTACAAAATCCTTCCTCCTCTGCCCTCCCCCCTCCAAAGAGGCACTTAGCCATAAACCTGACTTGGCTTACAAATTCTCAGCCTCGAAGTTATTTTTTTTAAACCAATCAACAGACCATCCTTTTGGGTACACAACTCTAAGTAGCTTTAAATTCAGTTTTGACGACCATTACTCTATACTGTAGATAATATTTTTTGTTTGTTCCACAACCCCTAAAAAAAATCCAACAAACAGAAATACCAAAATGAATGATATGCTGAGAGGTAAAAACAAAAAACAAAAAAAACAAAAACAAAAAAAAATATCTACAGTCCATGCAGACCTGCCAAATCAATTATTCATATAGTTGTTAAAGTCCATTGTACCTAAAGAACTCAATGGTCCACTGAGCCATTTTTAGATGTAACAAAACAGATGTATTCTATGAGCAAACAATCCAAATTAGCACACAAAATACATACACACATAGATCTATGCCAAACTGTAACACATACACACACACGCATGCATAACTTGACTGTCATCTTTTATGATCAGATAACTTCTACAGTACAAAACTGATTGTCAGGAAGCATCAGACTCTAGTACAGTAAAGTTCAATACAAATTTTCACTGATCTAAACTACAATGCATGCATTAATAATACTTTGTATGCATACAAAACTATAACTTCCAATTAATTTTTATTTCTAGACAAAAATGCAATAAAGTGACAAATTCCACATAAGTCAAATCTAACATTTCTTAACGCATACCAATAGTGTGGTATGTAATGGGGGAGGAAAGAGCAAAATATTATGGGTTACAGAGAGAATTTTAGCCTTAAATTTGATATTTATCATTATATTACAAACTTTATGTTCTTGAGCAAAATGTTATCTATTCACCCATAAAGAAACAGAGCATTTACATGTAGAACATTAAATTAATTACACAAGTGAATATCACTTATCGATGAAAATTTATTCTACTGCTTTGTGACAGTACATAGTAAATTACAAACACGTACATGGATATACTGTGCTTGGGCTACAAAGTGTAACAATTACATTTTTATAACACATTTTGTTTTCCTTTGGTTAAGTGTTCCGACTTTTTAGCCAAATCTTTTAAAATTGGTACATATGTCTCAGATGTACGGGAATATTTCATGTACTTACTAAAAGATTCAATCTATGCGGAATACTAAAAACAAGCCTTACTTATTAATCTGTTTTTAAATTTATGAAATCCCCTTCTTAAAGACAAAGAATATCTATGGAAACAGTGCATTTATGTTCAATACTCAAAAATAACTTTTCACCTGTAATAAGAAACATATCTGTTTTCATAAGGCATTGACCAATTATTAATTGATGGGCTTTTAAAACTTAGAACATAGATCTATAGTGACTACAGATATACGTCTGTACATAACACATATGTGGCATGAACAAACTGGTGAATCAGCACTAGGAAGCAACTATGCTTCTTCAGTGGGTAACCAAATTAAACACACCCAAAAGCCCACCAAACAAGGCATTCTGCAGTGTTCTATATCTAACTTCATTGTATTCGTTCTATTGCCAATTTACCATTTCATTCATGCTAGGTATATGGATAGTATAACTTTTTAAAACAAGGAAATTTTAGAATCATCATTGTGTGTGTTAAAATGTTTCCACATTGATTACTATCCAATGTTGGAGACAAACACAAGTTATTGGGCTCAATACAGGGGTAACTGGGTGACCTTCTCTGGCTTGTGTTACACAGGAGGTCAGACTAGATGGTCTAGGTCTCTTATAGTCTTAAAAAATTATGAAATTTTCCCCTTCTATTAATATTATAGAAAATAAAATAATAAAATCTTGTTTATTTAGACAAAGTTTGATTGTTTCATTCATGTTAAGGGGACTCCTGTCTTAAATTAAACTAGAGCAGTTACTGAAATTCATACTGATTATCTAGAGTGATACATTAGTATTAACCCTATACTGCTTCATATGTTTTTGCAAGATTATTCCATGTTGTGTAGTATCTATTTTGTGGTCAACTTTTTAGGATAGCTATGACAGTAGAAAAAAATCTGAACAATATGACTATTTAAAATTCAAATATCAGATATGGTAACATTAAATTTTACTTTTGGCATAAAATATATACTATCTTCTGACCAATTTAAAGGAAGTGTATATTAACTCATGAGTGTCAATAGCAAAAAAGTTAACTATACATGAAGAAAAATGTCAACAGTTCACTTTTTACAGCTATAGTATGCTTTCTCTAAGCACCAAAATTAATGTACCAGTAAACAATTATAGCTGAAGAATTCCAGAGAAATTGCATAGAGTCCATTGATGACAAACAAGAAAATTTGAGTAGAGTTTTTTTGTTTGTTTATTCGTTTGTTTTACACACAGAGAGTAGAAAATGGCATGCAATGGGATGCAAAAAATGAATAAATGAGAACATAGTATATAGGTTGCTTTTGGTCTGAACTGAAGCCACTAAGAGGATTCAACAGTGACGTTTGTAAAAGTATGCTTGGTGCACTGGTTAACCTTAAAGTGCTGCACAGTCAAGATAAAACTAAAAACACAAATCTGCCCACTTCTTGTACTGAAGACTTAAAAAATCCTTTTCACAGTAGAACCCTGTTTACTGAACTGTACCCACAACCTCCCTGAAAGTATTTTGACTATGGCTCTTAAGAAGCTCTATCAGCAGAACCTCTGGTTAGCAGAAACACTATTTTAAGCCATAAAATCTGTAGAGTGATTGCATCCAGACTTTACAGCATATTGGATCATGAAATATACTGAAATGGATCGATATTTGGAAAATAATTACCTGGAAAAAATTTCATAGAGAGAATTTGAGTAGCTGAACACTAAAAATCATATTGTTCATAATTAAACTAGTCAAAAATACTTGCAATGTGTATTAAATTGTTATTTTATTTGAGTCATCAACTGGTAAAATGTTATTCCACTTCTTACTGTAAAATTATATCAGTTACTAAAAAAATTGAAAAAAGTATAAGACTATACTGGATATGCATAACATTCCAAAACAACATCTACTAATATTAAGTTACTATTTGTTTTTTAAATAAATCCTAATATATTTTATGGGGATAGAAAAATACATATTTCTGTTTGGTTTTAAAACGATCATTTCAATTTTGAAAAATCTGCTTACATTTAAAATCAAAACATAAGTTAGTGCTATTCCGAAGTCAGTTATCTACCACCTGTCCTACTAAAGAATGCAAACTAGTGCATGTTTTTCTACTGATATTTGCATACTTTTGTCTAGTTATATGAATTCACATTTAGAGAAATATTAATATATTTGAATAAGCAAAACTAATATTTGCAATCAATACATTAAAAGAATCCATTTACTGAGGAAGTGCATTCCATAGTTACTTTTTGAACTTTAAATCCTTTCCCCCCAAAAATCTGACTTTTCCATAAAAATGTATCCCTCTAGAGACAAAGGGACCCAGTGACAAACCAAGGGGAAAATGCATCTTTCTTGATATAAAATTTATTTCTATTTTTCAAACACAGAAATAAGAAAATATACATAGGCAGTCACCATTCTATATGTTTGGGTGTGATTTACACCTACACTCTTATTTTGAAACATAATAATTATGGAACATAACAATTATGAATGGGGACAAAAGTATGATACTTCTCCAAGTTTTCCACCCCAAAAGAATATTTAGAAACCCAATAATGTACTAATAGCTTCTGTATGTTTAACAGCTGGAAAAAACCTTGCAAAAGTACAAGTTCTGAGCATACACGCTGCATGATTTGTGTACACATTCCATTTACAAGTGCTGCTGTAAGTATTCTGCATACTTATATTTCTAGAAGAGCAGGCAGGACAATAAAAAAATTACTCTATCCATTTTATACAAAAATAAGCACACAGAGTTGGAATATGTGTCAAGTCATACACAAAAGAGTACAGTGGAATAACTAATAAAATAATCTTGAAGAACATAATCCTTTTATGTATTCCTGCTTTCTATATCACTTGGGGGGGAAATTAACATAATAATTAGAAATAATTGGCAATATAGTTTTAACAAAATAGCATTCAGAACACTGCATGTTTTCATGGAAGATTGCAGATTTCATTTCTAGTTTGCTAGTTGTATGTTACCAAAATAAAGATAGAACTTGCATCAACTTTATCATACCTGATTGCAACTTAATACTTAAAAGTGCTTTTTCCAGCTTTAATTTATTAAGCTCACCAGGGTAAATTGTTTTTAATGGAATACTTTCATGCTTACAAATTGAACAGCCACAATGAATGAATGGTTCTTTTTATACCCCCCAATTGTTCAGAAACAAACTTTAAGCACTAACCATTCTTTTTTATTATTTTTTGCATTTTCCATGCAGTGTGTGCAACTGGCATCTAAATAGTTTCTTTGCCGTCGTGAACTGAAACATCTTGAATGCTCAAACTGTATTTTTATGAGTGCCGAGGGACCTTAAATTTTAGTGGTCTATTAAATGCCAGCAATTTCATGCTGCCTTGCATAAAACAGCATTCACATATTAGAGCACAGCGATTCCATAGGTACATTATACTTCTTCCCCACAACCCAAATACAAGTTCAGTGTATTTTATCTAAAAAATTAGATTTCAAAATGCAAAGATATTTTCAGTTAATACATAGTTATATTTTGTTTATGTTGTGTATTATTCTACTATCCACTTGAAGAGGTTCATCTTAATAAGTATACCAAAAAGTAATATTTTTTTAAAATGTGGCTAATAATGGTTTTAGGAAAATAACAATGTTTTATCTTTAAAGAAATAAGCAACCAATACACAATCCTCTTTCACTTAGTGTCTACATAATAAGAAATTGGAGAGAAACTACCCTCAATAGCCAAATTAATTGTTCTATTTAAAAACATCTGCATGAAAAGCACTAGCTTACGTTATGTATTTCATTCTCAAGACCTTGTCTCTGCAAGTTTTACTATTGCCACCACTTTCAATCTAAGACTCTTTATTCTCTTACCTGGTAATGTTATTCTTTTCAAAAAGAAGTCCAGTCCTACAGTCTGTTTGTACTGTTTCCCAAAAGCTTCCTGGGCAAAACGTGTGGCTAAAGACGTCTAAAAACAGAACCATATCAAATTATTTGGTATTTTAAAGGCTGCAAACCCAATTTAAACCAGTCCTAAATCTTATAAAACAAAGGTAAGCAATTTTTTAATCAATGCCAGCTAACAATATTCTCTGATGGCAGACAAGCATTCTGGCCAGCTTAAAATATAATAAAAGTAGATGATAATGGCAAGTTATGTCGGTAAAAAACAAAGAGTAAAACATTCAGCATGCTTCCTGTACATTTTAAAAATATTCTGATATTAAAAATGCAGAATTGTCTTACATTTTTAATTGAGTGCCAATAGTGCACTCTGCTCCATACAAACATAAGGTGACATGGTCCTTACCTCATAGGGCTTACAATTGTTAAAAAGAAAGTCCTGATTTCTACAACATGGGACCATGTACACATCACTAATCACAAACCTTCAACACTGGACAACTACTCTCTCACAGATCCACCCTGCAACTCTGTGTGGTTGCAGGAATCTACTTCTTGCACAAGAGTTGCAGGATAAGTGCCTACATGGGGACTAACCTAGTGCCAGATCGTGCATTTATATGCCTATTGAGACTACAGACATGAAGTTTTGCATGTATTGTGTCAAATAATATGTTGGAAATTGTTTTCCTAGTGTTAAATTTCACAAAGTTATGTCATCATGAATGTACACTGATACATAGAGCTGCCTTTTGAAATAACAGAGATCTCTTACTTTTTACTAGAAACCTCAAAAAGGGCATGCTTCTAATGACTTTAATATGCAGAAAGTAACAAAGTATGTATTTTCTGTTTCTTCATGACCAGTTGTAATCCATTCATCAAAGGCAATAAAAATACATGATATAAAGTAAAAAGGATACCAAAAAAACAGAAAACACCAGTTATATGAATTCCTAGAACTGTTGAAAAAATAATGTGATGCCTTAAAAATTAGTGTGATGTTGCTAAAAGAACGTATCCTATATCAAATCATTGCCAAGCATTTATCAGTCTCTTGTTAACATGACATCTACAAACGGCAGAAATTTAGCCATATTTCTGCCTCGATTTGTAAGAAAAAAAATATCAGGTAACAGCTTCACAAAGCCCCTACACTGCCAGAGACTGACATCCAAAGTGAGCAAATAGGAATCTAGCCAATCTTTAAATAAAACACTGAATGACATCAAGTGTTATTAAAAACGAGTAGTAGAGGATATCCAGTTAACATACAATACATTACAATAATACAAATAGTCCTGTTACTGTAAACAGACATGTTACACTACTAACGTTAAAAACAAAAAAAGAGTGAGAGAGGCATTGTAACGCTTGCTCTTTTTCTACAACAGCTTGTACCCCTTTTCATGAGATGTTATTTATACACTACCACCACCAAAGGACTCCACAATTAAGAATCAAGCATGAATAGGGAAATACTGAAAAGTTATTTGTGAAGGAAATAATACAAGACTTAATAGTTGCTTGATTGTATCATTCATATTCCCACCACTGTCAGGGATTAATAGGTGTCTTGAACACAGAAGATATTTATAAACCTGATCCAAAACCCAATTAAATGAATGGGAATCGTTTAATTTACTCTAGTGGACTCAGGCCCATAGAGAATTAAGAAAATAAATGAAAACAAGCAAACTATAATTAAATAAACATATTCATGCCATTTGTACCACATTTGGCAGTGAAAAGGTTGAGGATCACAGAGGATGAGAATCCATCTACCACCACAAAGCTATCTGACAATTATTTTTAAGTACATATTCAAAATAAAATTCAGTAAAAATTTTGATTGGAGTACCGCTAACTCATTCACATTATTTTTGTAATCTAACACTGAGCATTTGATCATTTAAAAAAAAAAATCTATCACCATCTCAGATGTAGGCAAGTATCAACAAAGTGCAGAAGTGCACTATATAGGCCCTCTTTTCCTGTAAACTGAATGTTTAATTACAAAATAGGAACTTTTCCCTTGTAATTTCCCCTTTCATTAGTGAATAACAACTAGCACCTGGGATGCAGAACAAAATATAAACCCTATAATATGGTCAGATTTGGAAAATATAAAATCCTAATTTAGATCCATGATAAATAAGCAAACCCTCCCGTTTTAAGGATACAGTAAATACTAACTTTATCACTCTGTGACACTTGATATTCCCAAAAGGTTTCTAGGGGTGTTAATAAAAATAAACAACACATTCAATTAACAGCCAACCAATAAGAGCAACAAGTAATCAACAGCATGGCAAAGTTCTCTTAAATAGCTTTCCTCCACTCTCCTGAATGCAAAGGAATTTATTGCAGAAAATCATTGACTAACTCCTTTTTTAATTTTTTTTAATGAACGTTAGCGCTCACGAAAGGTGTAGGATTGCCAGCCCTGAAGACTGGAGTTCTCTATTCATTCACAGAACAAGTATTTATCCACAAGAACACTGACAGCAGCAGTTCAAGTCCTCTACACATGGAAAAGTTGTCTCCATGCCCATTCAGGTCCATCCACAATGCAAAAGCTCCCTACAATCCTAAAATTGCTCTCTAGAGGGGTTCTTGAGAAAGGTTTTAGGTAACAATTTTGGCATCAGCCGTGGCCTGTGTGGTCAAGGTAAATTATTTTCCATTCCAATGGTTGATGAAAGCCATCTAGCTCAAAAAAACATTTTCTGTGACAATTTTAAACAAGGTTTTCCCCATCCAAAAAGTTTCATTAATCTAGAGAACAATTTTGTAACATAGACTGGGTCTCATTCCATGACCTCTCTACTATGACTGCCAACCATTGTGTTGATAGACTCTCTCTCTATTTAGGCCCCAATTCAGCAAAGCATTTAAGCACTTGCCTAAATACAAGCATATGCATAAGTGCTTTGCTGAATACGGATGGCTGACTGAATCTGGGTCTTTATATATATGCCTGATAATATTTATTAAGCAGCCCAGTCCCTCCCCTTTCAGCTAAAGTTCTTGGGGTGCTGAATTAGCAATTCATATAATTAAATCATAAAAGTATAAGAACCACAAAGAGCTTAAAAGCCAAAGCAGCAGTTTTAACAATGAGTGGGGGGAGTTCCCTACAAAACAAGAATACAGTTTCACCTAAGGGGTGAAGCAGAGGAGAAGACTGCTTGCTTATATTTTTAGATCAATCACCAACTAGTTGTATCAGCTGTGCTGGAAATTGTCCATAAATCGTCCTGAAAAAGAGCTCTCCAGCTCAAAAGCTTGTCTCTTTCACAACAGAACTTGGTCTAATAAAAGATACTACTTTGTCTCTCTCATATCCTGGGACAAACAAGGCTACAACGCCACTGCAAACATTCATTTACAGACAAACAAACAAACAAAATCAGACTATGTCTGAAAAAAAAGTTGCCAGCTGTCAAATGTTAGATGGCAAGTCATGGTATATGCAATGACATCCATATAGTGTCAGTCATGCTTTCTTACCAGCCATTTTGTGGGTATTTGTAGAGCAGGAGTAGGAACTTCCCAAAGGCTGCCCTACTTGCCTTTTCCTCCCTAGGAGGTAAATTTTTCAGAAGTGCCAATGGGATTTTGGCTTTTACCTCTGGATCCAACAATAAGGTCTTCCATCAAAGGTTTCCACTTTACCAAACCCATTGAGAATTCACTATCACCATCCAAAAATTAATCTGTATCCCCTCTCACCCCACCCCTTCCAGTTTATCATGTCAACTCTCTATTTATAGTAACAATCCACACTGGACCACAATCTGCACCAGCACCAGATTGTAAGAATCTTAGGTGCACAAAATGACAGGAAACTGTAGGGCAGAAAATGCTTTAATTTTTGTACTGGTTATGAAGTAACTCAAATATGGATAACTTTTCATTGAAGAAAGTATAGTTTATAAAAACACACTGATCTAAAATTTTGCTTATTCCTAGTTTACACAGCAAATAATTTTATAATTTCGATTTTTTGCCCTTCCTACTCCACTGCAACCCAACAATGAAAAACTGTCCTTTAAAAGGAAAAAATGGCTGATAAATGTTTACAGACAACCTATTTATTTTCACTATTTAGATTTGCAAGCCTGAATATGGCTCTCTGAATAGTTTCTCCATCTGCAAAATGGAGACTACGATAGTAATCTACATGATAGTGGTGGAGTGAAATTTAATTAATGTTTATAAAGCACTTTGCGATCTTCAAATGAAAGGTGCTACAGAAGTACAAAGTATTAGGTGGGTAGTGAGGCTATAAATGCTAAATACTTTTTAACTAGAGAAGGAAATTCCAGTTCATTAATGGCTGAAAATAGTTATGTGATGAGCAAGCCAATATTTACTTCCTCGGAGATCAACAATAATGAAGTCTGAAATTATGTTGATCATTGAGGTTGTAGAATTTGAAAATAGCGTCTCACCACCCACAGGTCAATTCAAAATTAAAAAAAAAGGGGCGGGGGGAAGGGTTTGATAGACACACCAGAAAGATCCAGGAGCAATGCACATTTGAGAAGCTGATGTAGGGGAAGAGGGTTTTAGGTAAGGGGATGGTACATTTCTGCTGCTCTACCCACCCCCATGACCTTTATTTTTCCAAGACCTCCTTGTCCATGAATAGCTCCAGAACTTAGTTCCATGGAGAGAAACAGCTTTCCCGAGCAGCAGCAGAGCAAAACTAGTGTGGTTTTTGTTAGTTTCACTACTGCCATGTTTCTCAACATGCAAACCAATGAGTGTGTGGAAAGATGTAGAAGAAGCATCCAGAGACTGACACCATTTTTTCAATCTATATTAATGTCACTAATTTAAAAAAAGTTTGATTTAGTTTCTGGAGGGGAGGGATTTGACAAAAACTCTGGTTCCTGAAGTTTGTTCCCGTCTTTCTTTCCCTACTCTTCCTTCCTATAAAATGAAGTCTTTTCTTTTATACTGCTGTTTATTTTTGCTTAACTCAATCCTCCTTTTCTGGTTTAATCTGTTTTCCTTATTTTTGTCGAACTCGTTCCAACCCTTTTTTAAACACCATTTTTTCCTCGGGTCGTGCACTGTTTTCCCTATTTTTTTCTTTTTAATATTTTCTTAGCATTTTTTTTTAATTTTAATCTTTTCTTCATTTTCTCCATTTTAGTATACTGTTTTTCTTCTGGTCTGTGTCTTTGTATTTCTATCAGTCGCTCCTCCCTTTCTAGCATGCTGTTACCCTTACTCCTCTCCTCCAGGAGCAGCACTTCCACTCAAGTCAACCTGATTAAACTCCCCAGCTACCCTGAATCATTCCCATTTCCCTTGCCACCCTGCCACATCACCAGTCAGGATTAGCCCATCCATCCCTCCATCTCCATCTATGGAGGGGTTGGCGGGCCTAACCTGAGTGGCACTGTGACACCATCTGACAGGTCTCAATGCCACTGCTGTGCACGGAGTGCTAGGTGGGCTCACTGTCCAACCTTCCCCTCCAGGTCTCATCTTTCAGCACCCCCACTACACTCTTGTGTATGTTTATGTAGCAAAAAATACACTACGTGACCTTTCCATGACTTCCATGAGGTTTTTTCCCCAACTCCTCGGTCATGAAATTTTCTAAAAAAGTGAATGGGAGTGAAGCACTGCTCCCTGCCTCATGAATTGGGACACTACTGGGGAAGAGAAATGGAAACACTGTCCTGGACTGGAACTGCCATGAAGCTGTCTGAGCAGTTTCGTTTTTAAACTACTGCCAGCAGTTCCACGGAGTTTGAATCCTTCCCCCTCTCTCCCAGGCATGACACCAGAAGACATGCAAGTTTGCTGCCTTGTTGTAAGCTGGATGAATCATTGTTCCTCGAGAGGCAGGAGACCAGTGTTGCCATTGGTGGCCTGGAGGAAGAAAAGGAAAATATGAAGCTCTGGATCTCAGAAGGGAATGAGAGACTATATCTTCTGCCACTATTCCCATTCCTCTCCATTGACAGAAGATAGATCATAGCTCCTGCAGAGAGAGGAATGTGTACAGTGAATGGGGGCTGAGTATGTGTGCAAAGGAGGCTGGATGAGAAATATACACAAGAGGGAGGCTGGGTGGGGGTAAAGAAACTTATGCTTATACACACACTCTTTTAAGAACTAGGAGGAACAAGTGACAACACAGGAGAGGGATGGTTTGGTCTTAAGAGGTCTCCAAATGCACCTGAACTGGCCCCAAGGCTGTATTCCCGCCCCCCTTCAGGTTGTCAGACCTCTTTTACTTTTGCAAGATTTTCCTGCAAGGCCCAAAGGTGCAACTGGGCCTTCTAGGCATCAACATTGCTGAAAGAAGCCTCTCTTATAGCACTATATAGGCTAGGAGGGAGTGCAGGGATTTAGAGCAATCAACTTTTTGAATTGCTCCGCTCTGGCTCCGCTCCAGGCAAAAACCCACTGCTCTGCGCTCCAGCTCCGAGCTCCGCTCCAAAGCTCTGAGTGTGAGGAAAGCAAAGCAGCCCCCATCAATGTAATCTGCACTCAGGCAAAGGCAGCTGAATGTCAACCATACGATTCCCAGGCACAGCAAAGGATTAAGGGATGCAACCAGGAAAAAACATCAAAATGCACCAATGCTTGTAATTTCAGATACGGTAAGAGGTCACGCCGTAAGGTACTGAACAGCAGTAGTGAAAAGGACTTCTTAGTTTGATTTGTATACTGGGAAAGCTAAAGCAAAAGACTAGAACTATCTTGAGCATTTATAATACACTCCTTAGATTGTCACTTGGAATTATTTGTCCACTGATTCAAACATAACAATACTTTCATGGTATAAAAGGTTTTCTTTACAACCATTAGAGCTAGATACTCCTTTCTTTAAATTAAAGAGTAAAGTCTATATTTAGCCACATGCCTTTTTCACCACACAGAATTTTCCTACTTATCAATGGAAAGCAGATTTTCCAACACCTGCAAATTACATGAAGTCTTGGTTTTTCACCTGAAATCATATGTAGACCAGTTATTCTGTGTCCGAACTTTTAATTTCCTACTAGAAAGTTAGTAACAAAGGAGAAATTGTACTTTTGAAATTCACATTCATGATGGAGATTATCATGTATGTCTCATTAACACATTCAAAATATGTGTAATAATACATACACTGAGGAGTCCTTGTGCCACCTTAGAGACTAACAAATTTATTTGGGCATAAGCTTTCATGGGATATAATCCACGTCATCAGATGCATGGAGTGGAAAACACAGTAAGCAGGTATAAATATATAGCACATAAAAAGATGGGAGTTGCCTTCTCAAGGTGCGGGGTCAGGGCTAATGAGGCCAATTCAATTAGGGGGGAAGTGGCCCATTCCCAGCAGTTGACAAGAAGGGGTGAGTATCAACAGAGGGAAAATTATTTTTTGTAGTGACCCAGCCACTCCCAGTCTTTATTCAGGCCTAATTTGATGATGTCAAGTTTGCAAATTAATTACAATTCTCCAGTTTCTCGTTGAAGTCTGTTTTTGAAGTTTTTTTGTGGAAGAATGGTGACTTAAGTCTGTTATTAAGTGTCCAGGGAGACTGAAGTGCTCTCCTACTGGTTTCTGAATGTTACAATTCTTGATGTCTAATTTGTGTCCATTTATTCTTTTGAGTAGAGACTGTCCGGTTTGGCCAATGTACATAGCAGAGGAGCATTGCTGGCACATGAAGGCATACATCACATTGGTAGATATGCAGGTGAACGAGCCCTTGATGGTGTGGCTGATGTGGTTGGGTCCTATGATGGTGTTCCTTGAATAGATATGCGGACAGAGTTGGCAACGGGGTTGGTTCCTGGGTTAGTGTTTCTGTTGTGTGGTGTGTAGTTGCTGGTATTTGCTTCAGGTTGGGGGGCTGTCTGTAAGCAAGGACTGGCCTGTCTCCCAAGGTCTGTGAGAGTGAGGGATCATCCTTCAGGATAGATTGTAGATCCTTGATGATGTGCTAGAGACGTTTTAGTTGGGGGCTGAAGGTAATGGCTAGTGGCGTTCCATTACTTTCTTTGTTGGGCCTGTCCTGTAGTCTGGGTACCCTTCTTGCTCTGTCAATCTCTTTCTTCACTTCACCAGGTGGGAACTGTAGATTTAAGAATGCCTGATAAAGATCCTGTAGGTGTTTGTCTCTGTCTGAGGGATTGGAACAAATGTGGTTGTATCTGAGAGCTTGGTTGTAGACAATGGATTGTGTGATGTGGTCTGGATGAAAGCTGGAGTAGTATGGCGGTCAGTAGGTTTCCAGTATAGGGTGGTGTTTATATGACCATTGCTTATTTGTACTGTAGTGTCAAGATAGTGGATCTCTTGTGTGGACTGGTCCAGGCTAAGGTTGATGGTGCAGTGGAAATTGTTGAAATCCAGGTGGAATTCCTCACGGGCCTCCTTCCCATAGGTCCAGACTTCAATGAGAAACTGCAGAACTGGAATTAATTAGTAAACTTGACACCATCAAATTAGGCCTGAATAAAGTCTGGGAGTGGCTGGGTCACTACAAAAAATAATTTTCCCTCTGTTGATACTCACACCTTCTTGTCAACTGCTGGGAATGGGCCACTTCCCCCCTAATTGAACCGGCCTCGTTAGCACCGACTTGGTAAGGCAACTCCCATCTTTTCATGGGCTGTATATTTATACCTGCTTACTGTATTTTCAACTCCATGCATCTGATGAAGTGGGTTATATCCCATGAAAGCTTATACCTAAATAAATTTGTTAGTCTCTAAGATGCCACAAGGACTCCTCGTTGTTTTTACTGATACAGACTAACATGGCTACTTCTCTTTGAAACCTGAATACATACACTATGAGCACTTTTTGTTGCAAGTAAAGATCAGGTCTTATTGTCTTCTTTAGTGCATAGTGACCTGTGCTTTGCCTTATTTGGCTCTATACTGGTCATGGACTTCATGTAGTCCACAATTCTGTAACCATGTTATTTGTTAATTACATTCCTAACCTTCAGAGAAAGAAAACCTTGAAAATGTGTACCAAAATTAAAACACCACACTGGTGACTTCCCATAGTCTGAAATAATAGTTCTGACAGATATAAAGTTGCCTCATTTGTGTCGGTAGTCTAGTAGTTTTTGAAACCTTAAGGACACAACTTGAATAGCAACATAGGTCACTGTTGATTATTTCGGCAGCAACATCCAGCTAGTATGTTTGTCCCAGAACCCCAAATCCCTTCCCAATGCCTGTCCAGATGCCAAAACCTGCCGCTTCCCCCAACAACTTCTATGATGTTACTATGCCTTGCCAACACAAAGTGTGCAACATACTGAAAGTATGGGAACAATATAGGATAAATTGGCTTTAATGTCAAAATAAACACCACAAAGGCCTGTAGTGATTGTATTATTAGCTTTTACCTTTATTAAGGACTTTTATACTTGAAGTTAAGCCAGTCTAGAATTCCTAGTTTCCCGCTTCAGAGAGTGGCAGGACGCCCCAGGGACCTTGCCAGAGTTTGGGTGCCGATTGCCAGCGGGTGGGAGGGAGGGTGTAGGAGGCTACTCGGAGCCACTGCTCCTTACGTCCCACAAGACAGATGGGGTTGGCCACTGTCTTTCTTGGGGGGCTGCGCTGTCTGACAGCGGGGAACCCTCATCTCTGCCATTCGCTGCCCCCAGAGGTCTCTGGAGACCCGGCCGGAGATCGTTGGTCTCCCGGGGAAGTGGCTAGGGACAACTGCCGGTCCGGCAGCCACCGATCATCGCCGGTCAGTCACTGGCCAGATACGGCGACAACGACAGGCGCGACAGACACTAGTGACGGGGGCAGGGGCGTGGCTGTTTGAGCTACACGAGCCGCACGCGCTGAGTCGGGGCCAGCTGGGGGGCGAAGTAGGCGGGTCCGGTGCGGGGGCGGGGCCCGCACCGGGGGGACATTCCGCGGCGGGAGGGGACAGAGAACATCCCGGGGGGGGGGGGTGCAGCCCCGGCAGCGAGAAGCGGGAGCAGACGGGCCCCGGCACTGACCTTGCCGGAGGTGCCGTCCCCCAACACCACTAGCTTGATCTGCCGGTCCGGACTCTCCTCCTCCGAGTCCGACATGGTCCCTGCGCCCGGCGGGGCGGGGCGGGGAGCGAGTGCGGCACTCACGAAGCCGCTACCGGCACAGAGGCCGGAGCCGCCATCTTTCCTTGATGCGGCCGCTGTCACTACGGCCGAGTCTGGGCGAGACCACCGCGAGGCCGAACCGGAGGAGGGCGAGAGAGACTGGGCGGCGGACCCAACGACTGCTCCCCGGCGGGGGAATCAGCTCGCCGGGCCCCCCGCGTCCCTGCGCCCTCACAGCCTCTCTCCCCCTCCCTGCGCGATAGTGGCTTGGCCTGGAATTCTGAGAGTTTCAATGGTTTAATCCCTTAGTGACGCCCAGCGTGGTAACTAAGGACCGCGGGGTGAAAGGTCACACTCACAGGGCGGGAGCACCACAACTAGCTCCTCCTTCTCCCTTCCCCAGGGGGCGGGGCTTAGGGGATTTTCCGCCCTCTGCTCCCTCAGAAAGGCACGCGGATTCTTTGCCCTCTGTTCTGGAGGGGGTGGGGCATGAGAATTCTCCCTCCCCCCCCCACCGCTCAGGCGCGTGGCGGCATCTACTCCCTTCTCCGAGCGCTGGGCGAAGGGAGGGAGTAGGGGTCCTTTGCCCAGGCCGCGTGGAGGCCCCCCGCGTTGCCCAGCCCTAGGAAGCCGGGGAAGGAGCTGCCTTGGGAGAAGGAACCGCGTCCCCAGGCCACTGCCGTTGGCGGAGTCCAAACGAGAGCGGGGCTGGAGCTGCCCCGAGGGAAATCAAGCAGGCGCCACCCTCCCCCCCTTCTGTGCTGCCGCCCAGGCTGGAGAGCCGGGGCTGTAAGATCATTTCTCCCCTTTGTCTCAATGATTCAGAGGCGCGGCCCCATGCGCTGAAGCGCTCCCAGGGGAGGCAGGCAGCCCCTCCCCAAGGAAGCAGTCCCTCCAGGCCCTGGGCTCAGGCCGTGTGTTTCTGGCTCCAGCCATCAAGGACTGACGTGCTTGTGAGGCTCTGCTCCCCTACAACGCAGCTGAGAGCCTGAGCCGGCCCTTAACCCTTCTTCTGTGCAGGACACAGGAAGGCCTCCCCCCGGGAGAAGCCATCAAACAGGGCCAAATTTGAATGGCATGGCGACCGTGTGTGCCTGGACCCAATGCCTCTCCCTCGGGTTTGGCCCCTCTTTCATGCCAGCAGGGAAGGGGCTCCACAAGTACTCCACCAGCTCTGGTCAGGGGCCAAGGGGAGGCTTGCCGGTCCGTCTTCCCCCCCCACACACACTATACACTTGCCAAGTAGGTTCTCAGACGTGGGGGACATGGCTGGCTCTGTTCTAAAAAAGGGAGAGGTTCCTTTGTTCACCTCCACCACCCCCTATTTCTGGCAGCTATGTGCATTGTGCACTATGTTCTGACTGGAGAATCTTTGATGATGATGTGACAGGTTGGATCACAGAAACCCCCTTGGGAACTGCCAACTGATGTGCCACGACTACTTCTGCCTCTGCTTTCCCTTCCAGCTTGGGACTCCAGCACCCTGTCTTGTTGAGCCAGAAACGCCAGTCTGCTCCAACCCAGACCCAGGGTCTGAACCACTTGCCCCAAAGCAGCAGACTTAACTGAAAACAACTTAAGAAGTGTTCCTGTCTTTAACACTCAGATGCACAACTCCCAATGGGGTCCAAACTCCAAATAAATCCGTTTTACCTTGTATAAAGCTTATACAGGGTAAACTCATAAATTGTTTGCCCTCTGTAACTGATAGAGAGTTATGTACAGCTGTTTCCCCCTCTCCCCCTCCCCATTAATACATACTCTGGGTTTATAAATAAAAAGTGATTTTATTAAATACAGAAAGTAGGATTTAAGTGGTTCCAAGTAATAACAGACAGAACAAAGTGAATTACCAAGCAAAATAAAATAAAGACGCAAGTCTCAAACTAGTACAGTAATAAAAATGAATACAGATAAAATCTCACCCTCAGAGATGTTTCAATAAGTTTCTTTCACAGACTGAACGCCTTCCTAGTCTGGACACAATCCTTTCCCCTGGTACAGCCCTTGTTCCAGCTCAGGTGGTAGCTAGGGGATTTCTCGTGATGGCCGCCTAATTTGTTCTGTTCCACCCACTTATATATCTTTTGCATAAGGCGAGAATCCTTTGTCCCTCTGGGTTCCCACTCTTCCTTCTCAATGGAAATGCACCAGATTAAAGATGGATTCCAGTTCAGGTGACATGATCATATGTCACTGTAAGACTTCATTACCCACTTGCCAGCACACACGTATACAGGAAGACTTACAAGTAAAACAGAGCCATCTACAGTCAATGCTCCTGGTTAATGGGAGCTATTAAGATTCCAAACCACCATTAATTGTCCACACTTTGCACAACTACAATAGGATCTCAGAGTTATATTTCATATTTCTAGTTTCAGATACAAGAGTGATACATTTATACAAATAGGATGACCACACTCAGTAGACTATAAGCTTTGTAATGATACCTTACAAGAGACCTTTTGCATGAAGCATACTTTAGTTACATTATATTCACACTCATCAGCATACTTCCATAAAATCATACAGAGTGCAATGTCACAGATGATACATACACAACATGGATGAGGAAAATGCTCAGAACATCTATCTTAATTCTTTTCTTTATGGGCCTAGGTGAAAACACCTGTGCTGTCATATAAGTGTAAGTCAAAAACGGCTGAGAACTGACAAATTGGATGCTAACAGACTGTGAATCCTAGTGATTATTTAACGTGGTGATACTCTAAACAAAAAGAGCTCTCAGCCCTGCGTGTAGGTATTTCCATTGCTTCACACTGACTCAACAGACATTCTAGGCTTCAGAGTTACAGTCCTGGAATCTTTTTATATAGACTGCGGTAGTGCCCAGAGACCCACTATTTTAGGCACTGTACAAACAGAATAAAGGATGTTTCCTGTCTCTAGACCTCTGTGTGATTTGCATAGCAGGCAGCTAGCTTGCATATTTGGAGTTCAAAGAGGAGGCATTCCCATTGTGTGCATTGTAAGAAGCACATTTGTGCACCTCTTTAAAACATTCCTTTTTGAAAACTGATGGTTAAAATGGTATCTAAGGGTCCCATTTTCCATCTCACAATGATTTCCAGTAAAAATTTGCTCAGTTTACATGAGGGGTTTTTTGTTTGTTTTGTTTTCTTACTGCCTCTCCTGCAGACTCAGCCTGGGATCTGAGAGCTAATCTGGGTTCTTGTATGTTTTACTAATAATGAAGATTCAGTGGCAAGAGTGTATTGGTCCAGAATACATGGGATGCTGACTAGCTGGCAAGTGTCCATGGCCTGGCCTGTATTTTTGCCTGGTCTACATGACCACTTCATGGTACAATACCCTGCAAACCACCTGGGAGATAAACTAATGCTAAACCCCACAGGAAGACTGGGAATCTGAGTTTCCTGATGATAATACCGAGGTCTTATACAGCGCTCTTCATCAATAGATCACAAAGTGATTCATAATCTTCCTTGTGTTTATCCTTATAATGCCATATGAAGTAATGACATGTCAGTCTTTTCAACTTTGGCAATTTACAACATACCAGACTCATTATTCCAATTACATTCTTGCTTCTTTCTTTCAACTTCAATTCCAGCCTGATTTCTGCAGCCACTATCTTGAAAACTGTTAGAAGTAGATCTAATGCTGTATACCATTTGAAATGTATAATCCCATATTTCAAATGGAGCATTACTCTAACACTGAGCTTGTGAGACTAGTGGTTGGTGAAATCATATTTGAATAACAAATTTTGGTTAGAAAAAAACAGTAATCAAAATTATCTGATTTTTAAGTACAGGCACCATCTAATCCCCCCCCCCCCCCAGTGGTTTTCTTGTCAATGAATGTTATGTAACATTTGTTTATATCAATATTTGTACCTGGATGATGATTCTCTCTGTTCTGGTATCAACATAAACACTTCTTGTTTGCCTGTTCAAGAGGAGTTACTGCTGCCCAATTAGCTAACTGGCAAAAATGTTGGATCTTGTCAACACTGGGATTATTAGCCACTGGTGTAGCCACACTGATGTTGCTGCACTCGTACCAACCCTTATTGTCAGTGTGGTGTACGGATGTAAGCAGCATCAGAACAAATCAGTGCTTACGCCATTGCACCACATCTGTTAGGGGTTTGCACTGATGCAGTTTCGTCCATGTAGCCACTTGGTGGATAACAAAAAACAACAACATTAGACAAGGCTTTAGGATGGGGGAGGTGACCTGTAGAGTTTAAAATAATATCTGGAATGTCAAGTCTAGTCTTTCCTGTTTTATTGGATGGTGTCCTTTCAAGGACTCAGGGATGTGGACTGGGGCATATCTCAACCCTTAATTGAAAGTATTCAGTCTTTGACAAAAAAGCTTTATCTCTAACTAAGAATCAGGAACCCAATTAGATAGATGCTAAAGGGATACAGTCAACTTAAAAATAACAGTTCTGTGTGATGTTTTGTTTTACTTCCTATTAGAAGTAACACCTAAAATTATTGTATCTGGAAGATTAGAGAAAATTTATGTTTATTTTATTTTGTGCACTGAATAGCACATTTTGTACAGTTTCACCATGTCTCCTGGATAGTCAGGCCCCAGTCCGGCAATCACACAGACTGCAGGAATCTGCCTCGGTGGTTTCAGTGTCATAGCTAGTTTCCCTTGTTTGTTTGGGTCTTTCACACAGCAACAGAGACGATAAACATTTTTTTTAATTGGAAAATATAATTATAAAACAAAAATTGGCAGAGGGACTCAAGGGCAGATGTAGTAACTGAAACTAACGGTTATATTTTTTAACAGATGAGATGACAGGTTATAACCAAAATTTTAAAAATCTGAATAAAAAATCATTTCTTCTTTCCTTGGTAACTGTGGGGTCATAAAAGTTTCAATCCTCCATATACACACACATTATAACCCCAGTGAGTTCAAGGGACTACTCATGCTGATAAAGTTATTAATATACTCCAGTGTTTGCAGAATCAGAACTAATAGTTACTAGTTCTCCAATAATCCAAAAAAGGATAGACAAGACCTGAATTTTCAGTGTAAAAAGACAAGCAGAGAAAAATCTGAAAATTTTCTCCTACATCAGAAAGAAGTAAAACATGGCATACCCCTTCTATTTTCCTGTGCAGGTTGCCTTTAACTTAATTGAGCTGTGGTGACTCTGATTGACCTATTCAACTTCTGAGAGGTGAGTATCTGAATAGGACTCAAACAAGGAAAGGAAAGGAACTGAGACAAACATGAACTTTCTTTTATGCTTTGTGACTTTATTGAAGTTTTGTATGATTAACACTAAATAACATTGAAAAATGAATGTACTAAGGTAGTT